GAAGGAGGGAGGGAGGGAGGGTCATACAAGATTCAGGTCTAATGGCAAAGATGTTAGAATCGTGTGCCGAAGGTAAACTACAGAGTCCTCAGCTTCTCTGAGAGGGGCAATTGCTCACTGAGTAGCACCCTTGTCAGATGAGCAGGAAGGCCTGAATTCAGAGTCCTAGAATCAATGTTCAGAATGCATCTGTTAATGGTGGGATGCTCAAGACATCTATGAGATGGGAAGCAGAGGCGACAGAGGAATCTCTAGGAGCTCTCAGGCCAGCCACCTTGGGACACAGAGCAATGAACAAGGTGAAAGGGAAGATCCAGCACTCCAAGTTGTACTGTGGCTCAAGCACATCTGTACTCACACACACACACACACACACACACACACACACACACACAGAGGGATGGGGAATTTAAAGAGTAGATAGTTCTTACCCAGTGCTGTTTACTTTTAAAAGCATAGGGAGTATTTTACTACACTTTACAAAATCTATGTAATTATATAGTCACCTCTGTTATTATTTATCTCAATTACTAAGAAATGAAAATTGCCAATATTTCCTTAAGCATTCTAAAAGACTGCCTGTTGGCTTTTGTCAATGCTTCAGCATTCATCCTTTGCAAACACCAGACTCTTCACATCTGTTCTGGATCAACAGTGCCTAGCAACATGCCCAGTACAGAGATAATTAGTCAAAGTTTGATTCTTGTGATCTGTTTTATCTTTTAGGTTTGCTCTTCTCAAGAGTTATTCAACAGGTTCTTTTTATTATTATATGTATACTTTATTATTATAGGTATGATGTGTCACGTTTTTCCATTGGTAACAGAAAACACATTTTTAAGAATTCATTCATTAAGCCTTGTGACCCTCTTTGCCCCCAGCACCATCACCTGATATTGGTCCAGGAGCAAATGGAGTGGAGATTCAGAAGCCCTTTAATTATGTACAGTAATGACAACACACCAGGACCAGTGTGGGGAGATAGAAATATCCTTGTGGGCATATGTCATTGACTGAAGGCTTAAGGTGCCTTGTTAGCATAGAAAGGCGTTCTGGGAATCTCAGGTGCTAGCTGAGCTGAATTTGTAATCTAAGGTTTCATGACGTTCTGCAGATGGAGGCATGTAGGGTTAAGGTCAGAGAAGGGAAGCCATGCTAGTGAGAGAAATCCTCCATTTGGTGCCGAGTCCAGAAGGCTATCTGGACAATTGTAGACTTCGACTTTAATTAGCAGGACAACAAAGCCTCAAGGAGAAGAAGAATAGAGAACTGAGTCTAAGGCAGCTTAGTGGGGAAAACTTTGACACTTTTGGGAACTCAGCCTCATGAACCATCCTCTTAATTACTCTTAGAACCAAATGTGAGTCTCACTAAAACAATGGAAAACTACTCAGCCGTTAAAAACAAGGACATCATAAAATTTTCAGGCAAATGGATGAAACTAAAAAATATCATCCTGAGTGAGGTAACCCAGACTCAAAAGGACATGCATGTATATATTCATGTAAATGGATATTAGCCATAAAGTACAGGATAATCATGCTACAGTCCATAGACACAAAGAAGCTAAATAACAAGGAGGGCCCTAGGGAGGATGCTTGAATCTCACTCAGAACGGAAAATAAAATAGTAATCTGAGGTGGATGGAGGCTGAGAACTGAGTGGGAGAGAGGATGGGGAGAGGAATGGGGGTGATCAGGTGTAGGGAGAGCTGGGGATAGATGGCCTGGAAATTGAACAGAAAATGGGGATTGAGAGACATCTCTAGAAACATTGGGCAGGGGAGGCTCCCAGGAGTCTATGAGGGTGACTCTAGCTGAGACTCCTAGCAGCGGGGACTATGGAGCGTGAAGTGGCCACTCCCTGTTGTCAGACAGGACTTCCAGTAGAGGGATAAGGACAGCAACCCACCCACAAAACCTTCAACTCAAAATGTGTCCTGCCTACAAGAAGCGCAGAGACAAAGATGGAGCAGAGACTGAGGGGATGGGCAACTACTGACTGCCCAACCTTACACCCATCTCATGGGCAAGAACCTATCCCTGACACTATTAATGATACCCTGTTATGCTTGCAGATAGGAACCTAGCACGACTGTCCTCTGAGAAGCTCCGCCTAGCAGCTGACTAAAACAGATGCAGAGACTCACAGCCAAACATTAGACAGAGCCTGGGGAGTCTTGTGGAAGAGTAGAGAAATATTTGAGGGACCTGGAGGGAGCAGGGACTCCACAAGAAGACCAACAGAGTTGACCCATGGGACTCTCAAAGATTGAACCACTAACCAAAGAGCACAGATGGGCTGGACCTAGCCCTGACCCCCGACCCCTACACATGTAAGCAGATGTGTAGTTTAGTCTTCATTCCGGTCCCTCAAGAACTGGAGCAGGGGCTCCCCCGACACTGTTGCCTGCCTGTGGATCCTGTTCCCCTAACTAGGCTTCCTTGTCTGGTCTTGGTGGGAGAGATGTGCCTAGTCCTGTAGGGAGTTAATGTGCTGGGGTGGGTTGGTACCCAGGGGTCTCCCCCTTCTCAGAGGAGAAGAGAGGGGAAAGGGGAAGGACTTGTGAGGGGGAACTGGGAGGAGAAGAGGACTGGGATTGGGATGTAAAAAAAAATCTGAGTGGGCTGGAGAGATGGCTCAGCGGTTAAGAGCACTGACTGCTCTTCCAGAGGTCCTGAGTTCAAATCCCAGCAACCACATGGTGGCTCACAACCATCCGTAATGAGATTGGATGCCCTCTTCTGGTGTGTCCGAAGACAGTGACAGTGTACTAATAAAATAAATAAATAAATAAATCTTTAAAAAAAAATCTGAGTTAAAGCTACTTATCAGAGACAATAATTAAGACAAATTATATCAAGAAGATTTGATCCCTGTTCCATGAGAGGGATTACACAGCTGGCTTTGTAAGCCCATTACAAGCCTGTGGCTGGGGCACATCATAGGCCCTGAGGAAGCTACAACTGCTATCTGGCTGATTGGATGTGATGTGCCCATCAATTGCCTTCTAAGAGTTCATGTTGATAATTTGGCTCTGCAATCAGTTTTCCTCAGAGATGCTTCTTTGTGCAGTGCTCACTGGTGACTGCTGAGACAGATAACTGGTCAAGTACTGAGAATGAATGACTGTTGAGTGCCTAGCTGTAAAGGGACATTGGTGTCACCCTCCAAGGCTCAGGAACCAGCCTGAAAGAAGGGTCAGAAAGAATGTAAGAGCTGCAGGTGGGGGTGGGGTAGTGGGGTGATGTTTGACTTTCAGGAATTATATGGCTGTTGAATTCTTTTTTTTTTGTTTTGTTTTGTTTTGTTTTGTTTTCGAGACAGGGTTTCTCTGTGTAGCCCTGGCTGTCCTGGAACTCACTCTGTAGACCAGGCTAGGCTCGAACTCTCGAACTTAGAAATCCGCCTGTCTCTGCCTCCCAAGTGCTGGGATTAAAGGCGTGCACCACCACCACCCAGCGGCTGTTGAATTCTTGAACTCACAGCTATCTACTGGAAATTGAGCCGGTCAGCACTGTCATGGAGGGAGGAGAGAGAGTGAGGAGGCCCATGCCCCACTAAGGATTTACAGCCAGTAAATGGTTGATGAGAAGGGAGAGACATAAATTGCCAATGCTCCCGTAAAACAACCACACTGAAACTCATTGAGTCATAAATAGCAAATCAGCAGGACTGGGAGCAGAGCAAGAAAGGAAGCAGGGTGAACACATCTAAAGTATGTTACATCATGCATGACATAATGACATCCATTGTTATGTATCATTACTATATACTCATTAAAATGTCTTTGTAGCACTGTACAATCAGTAAACAATGAACTTTCAGTCTTCTCAGCTCCTGGTTTGTGTTTCTCAGTTGGAGAGAGCACAGTAGATCCATCCTAAGAATTTGCTTTCATATTCCTCCATCCCTTTATCACCCTGGTTCCAACTCAGAAGCCCTGCATTGACTGAACAGAGTAGAGGCGGGAACAAGATGTTCTAGCCTTTCCCTCCTCTGCAGACGTCCACAGTAGGTACAGTGGTCCTAGGAACGATGAAGGCAAAGCTGCAGAGAAGCTCACTAGGGGCCTCATGGGAACCATGGTTTATTCCTCTTGAACGACATGGCAGCTCTATCAGACAGAAAGCAATATCCAAGACTCTCTCAATATCCAAGACTTTTGAAACCAGCGAGATGGCTGGGGGTGTAACTCGGTGGCCCAATCCTCAGCAACACAAACAAGAAATTTTAATATTTTAATTTAATATTTTAAACCATAAAATATTATTATGTTCTCATTTACCATGTGCTATAACTCATTTCAAGTCAGAGGTGATAAACAAAGTAACACCACATATATGTGATAGACATTTTCTTTACTAGGTGACAAAACAAAAAGTAAAACATTTCCCATGAATTCACAACTTAGTCCATTAGAAAATATCTTATTCTACAGTCTCTCTGAGGTACTTCTCCATCAGTTTCATCATGTTGTGTTTTTACATTTCTATTTGGGTGAAAAGTTCCATAATAAACACCAAGAAAAATAATCCCAAGGAGAAGCGCAAGAACTATGGTGGCGCTGATGGGGATAAAATAGTCGGAGTTAAAGATCGAGAGAGGGTAAATCCAGAACACAGACAAGATTCCCAGGGTGCCTAGCACCCTTACAGTATAATAACAAGACATTGGGCACTTGGTATTCTGCCCCTTTATGTTAAAAAAGGTGAACACAAGGATGAATCCAACCACAATCCTATATAAGAACTCCATACTTACAGAATTGCAAAACTGAGTGTGATTTATGAATGCCCATACAAAGCCTACGATCCAAAGAAATAGCAGCAGAAACAAAGCAGCCCTCACATCCACAAACAGCAGAAGTACCACACTCAGCATCCAGGACAACAAGGTAAACAACTTGTAAAAGAGATACGTGAGTTTGGGCCAGAATCCTCTGAGGAGATTTTTATCGGGCAATGATTTTCTTAAAGCTATTTGATAGTCGACAGTTGACCAAGAAATAGCACAGCAGGAAGCCATGATGACCATGTCTACAAAAGAAAAAAACAAACAACACACTGTTTTAGGAGTGGTGACTGAATTATAGTAATAGTAAACTAGCATGTGCTGTGCATGCTCAAGCAGTGTAGACACACACAACACATCAGGTAACTTATGTGTCTAACTCTTCAATATTCCCACAATGCATTAGTGGAGCTGAGGTGTGCAGAAATATATTACTTGACTCTTGTCATGCTGGAAAGTGATGGAACTGAAATCTGTTGGTATGCTAATCAACTGTATTATACTACTTTAGGATTATCTTGAATAGATTCAGTAAATAATACTTTGACAAAACAGTACAACTGTAAGTCTTGGTTTTCTACACTATTTGGCTTTAACTTTACACCCATACCTAATTTACTGAGAGACAGCTTAATGGTTTATGAAATAGTTAAAAAGAAAACTTAACATAAGTATACATCATTAACATGATAATGCTTCAGAACCTACAGACCCTAAGTCACATGAACAAACAGACTCTGAAATTCACAAACTTCTATAGGTTTGGCCCCTTTACCTATTCTGTCCCAGCACAGAGCAGAAGATCATTACTGTTCTGAAAATTCAAGTCATTGTTACCTCGCTGTTAAAGCAGAGGATGGTTTAAAAAGTGAAGAAAATATAAGACAAAACCAGAAAGAAATAGTCACAGAGATACAGAATATGAGTCCCTTTGAGTAAGCAACATCTGAGGTCTACCTGTGCACAGCCAGATTTCTAATGATGTTTCTTGATGAATCTCCTTACAAACACCTTACACTAAGGCTCTGGACTTAACTTTTCTCCTTGTTAATTAAAATACTGCTTTCTCCTAAATCGTTTTTGTTTTGGGTATTTTTTTAATGTTTTCGATCTTATATCTATGGCTATTTTGCCTACATGTGCCTGGTGCCTGTGGAGACCAGAAGAGGGCATTGGATCTCCTGGAACTAGAGTTAGGGATAACCGTGAGTCATCACATGGCTTCTGGGACCTGAACCTGGCTCAGTAAGTGCTCTTAACTGCTAACCCATCTTTCCTGCCCATGTGATCTGTTTTTATATTGGGGGATTCGGTTGCTCGACTTTGTTTTGCTTTGCTTTGTTTTGTTTTTGCTGTGTTTTGTTTTATTTTGTGAAACAGAATCTCACTAAGTAGTCCAGAGTAGTTTTGAATTCACATTAAGCTGTGTGCCTCCAGCTCCTGAGTGCTGGGATTACAAGTGTGCATTACTGTGCCTGGCATTAATCTCCACCAAATTAACACATACACATAGTTTTAAAAGTTCTACAAACCTTAAAGATCTCAGCAGTCACTCGCTCTAGCTCCCTTGACACTGAGCTATAATCCCCAGAAGATGTCCCTCTCAGCTCCCCTAGTTGTCCCTCTGACATGCACTGTTCTACACAAAACACAGTCTGAGTTTATCTGCAGTGGACACTGCTCACTCGCTCTCCATTCAGAAAAAGGAAATCTTGGCACTGCCTTCCTCCAGTCCTTCTCCCTCCCACTGCCCAAGAGAAACAAAGTAATGTTTGGTAAAAATCCTCAGTGTTATTACAGCTGCGTCAGTATGAGTTGTGTTGGTTTGAGGCTTTTTTTTTTAACCTCTAGGTAACTATCTTCTTCTTTTAGAGCATTTTGTACTTCCTATAATTAACATTTGCCTTCCTTCACACTTGATTTCTGTCTTCCACACTCTGGGAAGTCAGCAAAACTGAATCTCCTATTCGTGAGACTCAGAAAAGCCCTCAGGGTACAAACGCCTTATGAATCCTACTCAGTTCGAGGGCATTCCTACTTCCAGAACTATTCTGTATGTTACATCAGATATTTTGCATCTAGAAAGTTTTTTAAGTATCTTATATAATGCCATGGAAGGGTTGCCTAAGACCACTTAGTCCTTAATGAAACGGCTGATTCTCATAGCCTACTTCCCAGCTACTTCCCATCCTGAGGAGGGAGATGAGTCCCCAGACAGCAGGGCTCCAAGCACAGACAGACTAGGCAGGAGAGGCCCCAGTGGGCAGATCTCTCCCTCACCAGAGCTTAGAACAGACTCCTAGTGGCTCATTTTGCTCAGTGAATGGCTACCCTTCCTGTAGTCTCTGCGTTGGGAGGAGGTCTCCGTTGACACCATCCTGCCACTGCTCAGCGTGCTGAGCAGCAACAACCACTCCCTTCCATGTGCCTTAGGGCACTCAGTGCAGTCACCTACCCAGAGTGACAATAAGCATGACAATATACTGTGCTAGGATGACAGACAACCCAGGAAGGCTTCAGACTAAATTCTTCCAGGCTCTGCCCATCCTCCACACCCTGTGCCCAAAGATTAAAAGATAGATAAGATTGGCCCTCTGAGCCTGAGTCCGTCAACCTGCCCTTACTGGAAACTGAGCCAACTGGAGATCAAGAAAACCAACCTCATCACTTTTGGCCTGTTGCCATTAGTGACCTTTTTAACTAGAGAACTCAGAACTCCCCTTTTTCAGACAGCCCTGGAGATTTCATCTCTTAGAGAGAGATTTCATCTCTTCACCCACCAGCCCACTTGAGATGACGTTAAAGAGCTCTCATACATTCTCTTTACCACAGACAGAGGCCAGGAAACTAGTTGGTGGCCCCACGGGGGAACTCAGCAAGCACCTTTTGATACTGGCTTTTCTTAACCACCCAGATAGGGACTTCAACACAGCTCTGTTGACAGATCTCAAAGCGGCTGTATACAGCCACTAATTTGGCCAAAGACAATGGAAAACAACAATATCTCTAGCCTTTATTAACAAGACAACACCAGATATCAGGACACTCCAAAGGGTTCAAGGACTAAAAAAAAGAATCTAAAAGATAATGACAAAAAAGTATTTAATAAAAACAGAAAAAAAGACAGGTAGAAGAGGAAAAGAAACAAACTCACATTCTGACAAAGATCCCGTTAGCAGCCATGACCAAATCAGAAGACTATAAGAGATGCCTAAAATAAGTGGCTTCTAGAAACCAATATACTTACTCAGACCCTGATGCCCAACCTACTTGTATAATAAGACACATCTAAAACAAATGACTTCTACAAAAAAGATAAGAGGGGCCCTAAGGACTAAAAATGCTCCCACTAAGGAAAAAAAAGGGGGGCCCTTGGGCCAGAAGATGCCCTGGGGTGGGAGGGAACCTTTTCAAATCTTAGAAGATGCCCAGAAGAACCCTAAAAATAGAGGGAAAACCCACCAGCTTCCTTGATAACAAAATTTACAGTTTATAAATTACCTCCTAGTGACAACAGAAACCAAACAAAAATGTCTAAAAAAGACCCAGGACTTCTTGGAGGCCCTGAAAACTTAGACTATTGAGTCTCTGATAAAAAGGGCCTACTATGCCAACCACAGGTGACCTCCCTAGATCCAGGGGCCAGAAAAAAAATTCTACACCAGCTTTGAAGTCGCCAAAAGTGACTTAAGTTCTTCCATCTCCTCATGGATGAAAGATCTGGGCCCTGGCACCAGCCAATGGCCTACTTGTCAAAGAAATTAGACCCAGTTCCCAGAAGCTGGACCCCCTGTTTACACTCATCACAGCGATGGCCTCCTGGTTAAGAATGCTGACAAACTGTCACTTGGCCAAAGCCTTACCATCACCAATGCCAGAATGACTCATTACCAGTCTCTCCTCTCAAATTCCCTAGGATAACCTTTCAGGCTCCAGATGCCCTAAGCCCAGCTACCCCGCTGCCTGACCCAGACATCGACAGGCCACTTCATGACAGCTTGGGCATTTTGGTCCACATCCATGGGACTAGACCAGCTCTTCAGCCTCATTCAGGATGGACAGAAGTATGCTGCGACAATGGTGGTCTCAAACACCAAATGGGCAGAGCCACTCCCAACAAGAATGTCAGCCCAAAAAGCTGACCTAACAGTTCTAACCAAGGCGTTAGACCCAGTTTCAAAGGGCCATAATAAGACAGATCAAGCAGCCTGTCACACTGCCCTAGAAATCAGACCTCTCCTGCTCCTGACTTCCCTGGATTTGGGAGATCCTATACTCCATGACCACCCTAAATATTCAAAAGATGACATGATCTGGGCTAGAAATTTGCTCATGTCCCAACATTATGGCAGGTGGTAGAAAACAGCAGATCACAAACCCATTGTGTCAGAAGAAGTGATACTACACAGACTTCAGAAGACTCCCCACTCCTTCCCACACAGGTTCTGTATTTCTGGAAAATACAGAAAATGATATCAAGATTAAAGACATCAACTCAAAGATAACTGAGATTTTCAAAAACTATAAAGCTTGCCAGCTAACTAATGCGGTGACTAACAAGAACCCCGGTAATAGATTCAGAGGCACAAAGCCCAGAGTCAACTGAGAGACAAACTTCACAGAAGTAAAACCAGATAAATTTAGATATAAATATTTACTGATGTTTACAGATATCTTTTTAGATTGGACTGAGGCTTTCTCCACTAAATGTAAAACTACATTCATGGTGACAAAGAAGCTCTTAGACCACATACTACCAAAGTGTAGAGTTTTTCAGATAATAGGATCATACAATAAACCAGCTTTTGTATCCCAGATAAGTCAGAGACTAGCCAAATATTCTACAGATTTATTAGAAACTTTATTGTACATATAAACCCCAGAGTTCAGGACAGGTAGAGAAAATAAACAAAACTCTAAAAGAGACCTTAACTAAATTGACCTAAGAGACTGACAATGACTGAGTAATTCTCCTTCCCTTCGCTCTCTATAGGGTATGAAACTCCCCTTACCAGATGAAACTCACTCTTTTTAAAATCATGTTGAGGATACCACACCTCCCCCCCCCCATTGTTTTTAACATACAAGCAAAGATCATTGCTGAGTTCAAGGATTGCCAATTACCAGATGATTTCAAAGGTGTTCAATGGGCTCAGAAACATGTTTTCCCTAAACTTCATATTCTCTATTAAACAGGTCTCCCTCCAGCCAGAAGTCATTAGAGCCTTGTTAAAATGGTCCCTCC